ATGGAAAGGACCAGGGAGTCTGGAAATACCCGTGAGGGAAATGAAAGTAGTCCTGGTAAAATGAGCTTTTTTTTTTGTTTTGTTTGGTGGTGATGTTTAAACTTCACAAAGTTAGCTGTGTCACAGCACATACTTTGCTGCTCTTGCTTCATGCTTCTTAAAGCTCAATATTGGCTCAAGTTGCTGCTCTGCTGGGGAACTGACACTCAGCTATTTCCAGGGCTTAAGTACAGTTGATTGTGGTTCAATCCTTGGTCAAGCAACAGAAAGATTCTCCTCCTTAACCTCCCTCCCTGCCACTAACCCTCACTGGATTAATCGTACATCCTGTCCATCTTGCTACTTTACGTAACAGGCCCGGTTGGAGACATCCGTCCGCGCGCTGGGCTGCCGAGACTGAGCTTGGCTCTGAACGTGTAAGCAGCTGTGAAACGCGGGCAGCTTCATCTGTAATTTTTCATATCTTGGTGACACGTGTTTGGAAGTTGGGAAATAAGCTTGCATTCAGGAAAAAGGGGGGGTTTTGCACTCCAGAAACAATTTATCAACAAAAATTTTAATTTAAAATTTGCTCAGATACTGTTGGCAAGACCTTGTCGCCGTCCTGGGTGACCTGTTGAGGTGCAAATTATTTTAACTCCTCGGAGTTCGTGAAGAATGTCTGTTTTGCTGTAATAAGCTGCAATCTTGAGGAGTGTCCTGCATTGTGATATTGCATGTTAATAGCATTGATTAACTGTCGAGCAGTGGGAATTGATGAGAAAATGTCCATTGTGAAATTAAATGGCACTGCTGAAGACTGTACGGTGCTGCTGGTTAGGGAGGCGACTACCCCCAGTAGCCGGTGGTAGGAGTATTAATGTGAGCTCCAGGTTTTTTCGCATGATTAAAACGGGCCATCTGTTCTTTGTTAAATGTTTACCAAAACAGCTTTTCTCTAAAAGATTTAAAGAGATGTGGGTCTAGTAAACACACCAGTATTTTTTTTTTGAGCACCTTTTTCACCTTATTTCAAATAATTCCAAAAATAATTCTGCTGCAGTATCAACTAGGGTGAATACCTAATTGTGTTTAATCTTCACTGGTTTCTTTCCTGTGGAAGATTGAATTCTGTACTAAATTCTGCCTTTGTTTTCACAAAAAGCAGCAGGAGAATCGATTCCTGTGAAGTATGCGGATAAATTTTTCAATCTTTTGGTAAAAACTTGTAATATGCATATTTTTTAATTTTGTAAATGGAAAAAGAGGTATTTTCATTAGAAATTGTGACCCTGTAACTGGAGTTAATCCTTTGTAGATTTAAAGAAGTAGAACTATTTGAAATAATTCCCCGTGGTAGGTTTAATCTAATATTTACCAGTGAAAGCCCGTTCTTCCTTTTCTCCCTTCTTAAGAAAAGGCAGACAACTGGTTTGGGGTAAGAAAACACATCTTTCAAGCTGCTTCCGATCTCCTCGCTAGATCTGTGCTGCTCCTACACAGCTTCACACTAGGGAGCAATGTGGGGTTGTCAGTTAGGGATAAACCGTTTTAGCATATTGCAAAAGTGTAGGCGCAGACTTCCTAGAAAAATAAAGTTAATCACACCCATTTCTTTGAAAGAGTGCTACAATTTAAAAGATCAGTGTTAAGTGAATTGCAGAACGTGCTTAACTGCAAAGGGAGTGGCATGTGGCAGAAGTAGTGTATTTTCAAGTAAATATCACCAAGCCTGATCAGGGCAGAGTTGGCTTTTTGTAGTGTAATGTTGTGGGGATTGTGAATGGTATGAAACAAAAGCACAGCATGTTAATTTGTGTGCTTGGTAATCACATAACGGGAAATAAAAGGCTGTAAGGTTGGTTTGGGTTTTGGTGGGGGTTTTTGTTTTACTTTTTAAATACTTTTTTCATGCCTAAAGTTTAAGTCTAATGTGTAGTCTAAGCCTGAGAATGGCTCTTATGGATAAGCTTTTTGAGGTAGTAAGAATCTGTTCACAGGATGACGTTTTCCAGAGGGAGTTACTGGGTACTGCAGTGTGGGAACAGTTGCTGCCATTCTCAGTGCCTTACTTTCTGGCCAGACCTTGCGTTAAAGCTATAAATGTCCAATCAGGAAGGGCTGACGTTGCTGTTGTGGAGACTTGGAAGGCTGTCTGCCTTAACTTCAGGTTTACTTATGACTGTGCTGAAGGCTGTTGTTCAGACTGATAAAACAAGCAAGCAAACAGAAAACAACCCACAAGAATTGGATAGGAGACAAGGATTAATTTTTTGAGTTAGATTATAAAGGTAATGAGAATACTCAAGCATGTATAAAACTTCACGCTGGTTGCACGGTCACTATCGGTAATAAAGGTGCAACCTTGAAGATTTATAGGATTAAATTTACATGGCATTACTGGATTTCTTGTGGTTTTTAGTATTTGTTGGTTTGGCTGCTTCACATACTTAAGAAGAAAAATAAACCAAAGTACAATTTCTGATTTATTCTAGGAAGTTGCACCTTATACATAAGCTTTTAGATAGTTGTAAAAGTCTGTCAGTATGGCAAGAAAATACTGTAGTGCCAAACACAAGGTACTTGCTCAATACAAATTTTGCGAATAATAGAAAGAAAAACTTGGATTTCTTATGTTAGGCACAACGAGTGAACAGTATTTCAAGAGAGGACTGAGTGGTGAAGACATTGATGAACCTTGCATTTGAGGTCCCTGAAAAATGTAGGAAGCATGAGAGATGAAATGGCAGAAAATACAGAAATATATTGACTACCTTGGGAAAATACAGGTTAAAAGTACAGTTCTGAAAATTTATGGATACGAAGCACTTAGAGATGATCTGTGTAATGTTCCTTCTTTTCCTCCTGAGTGTTAGACAGTACAAGTACATAATGGTGTGAGGTACAGAGAGTTTCATTCTTTGTCACAGAACAATCTGAGGAGACATTCAATTCAGTCAGCCAAATTCCAAGCCAATTAGTGGATTGACAATTATCTTCATTTTATGTAATACATAATCAGACTGCAGAACTCGCTGGCACCACTAACAGGGATCAGCGTCTTCTATACAGATACCCAGTCTTTGAACTTCCCAGCATGAAGATACATGTGTGTTACGGTGACGGCAAGTTTCTAGAAGAGGTGTTGGTTTGTACTTCAGGATGCCTAACGTGAGATTGCCCTGAGGTGGGGCTAATGCAAGGGGTGCATCAGGTCTGCATCAGAGCCGAGGTCCCACTGTAACTAAAGCCCTGTTGCACTCAAAAGTATCTTAACGAGCAGGTAGAGGACAGAAATGTGCAGAACCCACCCTGGGAGTTCTTGGTGAAGCCAAGCAGAGCTGGCTTCAGTTCGTTACTAAGGCCTTCCCTCTTGTCCGGGGAGTCTCTCCCATAAAGACCTGTAGTGTCTACTTTGTACCGTTCTAACCTCTCCCAAACAGCAATAAAAAGCTGTCGTCTTCGCTTCTTGACAGCCTTGCCCCTTCTGCTGCTCGGGTAGCTGCTGAGTTATGAGTGCATTCGGGGCATGGCGGTTTTTTTGCTGCTGTGGAGAAATGCTGAAAGTAGTTAGGACTGCACTGACTTGGTTTGTTTACATTTAGAAAACTATTAATATATTTGGAAAAAGAAAAATACACTTGTAATGATGTTAAGGATTTTATTTCTTAAATCTTAAGCCTGTTTTTGTAGATCTAGGTGGCTAAAGTATATGCCCATCAGTTCTCTTTATGCTCAGGGCCTGGGTCCGCAGAGTCATTTGTGTGCCTGCCGCTCCTCAGTGCGTGCGAGAAAAGGAAACACTACGAACGTTGCAAGCACTTACACAGGCACTGCTGTTCCTGGAAGTAAAATTCTGATTTGCTATAAACCTTTTTTCTCCCCAGTTCAGTGGCTCAAGCTTGTCAAATGGCTAGACTTTGCGACCATGGCTAATGGGGAACTCTTCCATCTAGAATCATGCTGACTTAATTTTTAGGGAAGAGAAAGAGATGAAACAGGGAGGAAGAGGGCCGGAAAATGGTCTGATGATCTATGTGTAAGAAAGGCATCAGTACGATGTCAGGCTATTACTTTTCTTCTTGAAAAGCACTACCATCCTAAATTTGTAACCACGGGCAGGCAGTGAGGAGAAGCTTTGATATGCTGCAGAGTCATGGCAGAGCTTAGGCTTCTTTTTCATTGCAAACTGATGGATCTTTGTGTAGAACAGAAGCATTCAGAGGACGAGAGTTTCAATACATCCAAATACATCCAGTTGCAAATACGTCCAGGCACTTGATACATACATTTTCCTGTACTTTTAAGATTGGTGTAAATCTGATACGCTATACAGACTTTGAAACAGGACGCTTCTGCAGGTTCACAAACACATAAGGTAAGTTCCCTGTCCAATCTGTAGCAGGAACAATCTGTTTCAATTACAAGTAGGGCGCTGTGGATCTTTGACATGAAGCGTAACAGTATATTACATTTTGAAGTGGCTTAATCCTTCACATGCTGATCAAAATACCTGCTGTCACAGCTGAACCAGTGTAAATTGCCCTGATTAATTTTACATAAATACAGTCTGTGAATATACTCTATTTTTCCTTTCATATGTCCAGAAACAAATTTTTAGCAATTTCTTTATCGTGGAGGACGAAATTCTAGTGCAACTGAATCGTTTGTAACAAGTTCTTAGTTCTACTAACAACTATTTTGAAATACCTGAAATAACAATTGCTTTCCTTTTGCATGGAATTGATGAAGACCCCAAATATTTCCTATGCTTCCAATTTGTACACAAGCATTAGAATAATTTTATCTTTGCTATATCAAGAATTTCTGGTCATTTTGCTACTGTTTTAGCTGCAGAAAGCTTTGGTTTTTACTGTTTTACTGTATAGTGTTTCAGCTATGCTACTAGGTTAACCTTCTGCTTAATATTTTCTCCCTCCGTAACCACTTGCTCCAAAAGAGCAATGTTGGAGAAATCCAAGTTGCAAATTTACAATTTTATTTCTGTTTGTCTCTCTCAGCATTCTCCGTCGGAACCCTTTTTAGAGAAACCAGTGCCGGATATGACTCAGGTTAGTGGACCGAATACCCAGCTAGTGAAAAGCGATGATTATCTGCCATCGATTGAGCCGCAGCCACAGCAGAAGAAAAAGAAAAAGAAAAACAATCACATTGCTGCAGAAGGTCCCAGTAAAGGTTTTGGTAAGGAAGACTTTCCTGGGGGACTTGACAGCCAGAATCTAAGCAGGAACTCAGTGGATTGCTCCCAAGAAGAGAAGAAGAAAAAGAAAAAGCCCAAGGCAAAAAAAGAACCGAAGGATCCTAAAGAACCCAAGGAAAAGAAGGAACCCAAGACCCCTAAAGTCCCTAAGACCCCTAAAGAGCCAAAGGAAAAGAAAGCAAAAAATACCACGCCAAAACCCAAGACCAGCAAAAAGGCTAGGTAAGTCAGGAAACTTCTATAAGCGATGAGAGAAAAACAGTCTGTTTGTGGAATTTCAAAAGCATCTGTGCTAAATGGCGTGGGTGGAGAGGAAATCTCGTTTTGTCGTTTGCCTTCTACCATCTACCTCATGTTTTTGAGGAACTCGGGTACATTTCTCTTGTTTGGCTTTCCTGTTTATGGCTTCACAGTTGTTTTAAACAAGCTGGAAAGGCAAGTTACTTTTTCTTTCAAGGCATAAAAAAATTCTAGATGTGTTAGTTTTGAAAGCGCTCTCTCCTACTGTCGATCTGTTCTCCTGTGTGGTTTGTGTAGCAAGAAATTAAATTGCTTCAACATTAATGTAGGTTTGACCGAATCCAGAGATGAAGGCTTAGAGGAAATAAAGGTTTGATGTTTTTTTTCTAAATAAATAAAGTTGGGTACTTATGTTGTTACCAGTTGCACAGCCCTTACGAGACACTCTTGCACTGACACAACCCACGAGCTCAGCTGTTAAAAGGCATTTCTGTATGGGTATTGATGTATCCTCACTGTAGGGATTGTATTAAATTTTGCTGTTTCGCATAAAGACAGTTTTCCTAGCAGAAAACCTTTGTGGATAGACCAGATGCTTCAACCTTGTTTCTTAACTGTTTTCACTCAGCATCGTGTCCTTTTATCAGGATAGGCTTAAAATGCTTCCGTGTAGTATGAGGGAGAACAAACTGCTGTTACACATGAGTAAATACGTCATAGATGATAACACAGATTCTTTCCTTACCCCACAACTCCCTAAACACCACGATTATAAATGCCTACTTGAAAGAAAACGGAGAGGAAAAAGGCATTAAAGCTCAATTTTTTTTTCATTTGTACCTAGAATTTCTTACAACTGTTCTGAATTTGTTCCAAACATCTGAATCTGTTTTTCAAGATGTGGCTAGCGTTATAAAATATAACTTCCAGATGGAAGCACAGCCAGACTTGGTTAATCCAAATCAGTTTGCAAAATCCATTTGTATTAGGGTTTAAAAATTGCAGTTAATGAATCAGCTTTGCATATATTCTACAAGACTGACTGTTGGTTAGGTTTGATACAGCTGTATGGCTAAATGAGGCATGGATAGTAAGATGTTACTGTACCTTCTGGCAAGAAATAGAAGTTTCTGTTAGCAGAGGTGATGTTTCCTGAAGAATTTATACACACTGGCTTGTAAAATCAAATGTTGTCCTGAACAGGTTGTACTAACTGTTCAGTAAATTACAGTTGATTAGCCAGTCCTACTGCAGAAGTTACTTAGGCTGTGTTCCAGATGGTCCTGAGGATGGGGTTTGCAGTGCATAGCAATTCACAGCTTAGAAACTCTTTTAAGTTACATATCTCCCAGTTTGTGTTTTTGAAACCAAAACACTGTATCAGGGAAAATAACCTCTTTGTTCCATTTCCCTATAGTCAGGGGTTTAAAGGCTGACCAAGCCATACTGCATGGTATTGAGCCCCTCCCAGCAATTTTTTGCACCAAGAAGTAAAAAAACTTTTACTGCAGGACTCCTCGATTAGCGCGGTTTTACAAGGTCTTGGCTGCAATGAAGCCTTGTTTAATAAGCAGCGGTTAGGAGGAGTCTGCCTCAAAAACATGCATGGGTTCCTGTGGCTGTGCTGGACATCAGACCTCAGAGCTGCTCCGTCCCATCCACTCAACCCTAACACCTCTGTTGGCGTCTTCTCTAAATCTTGGGGCGTGCCATGCAGAATAAAGGAGCAGTGTTTCCTCTGAAGGAACAAATCACTGCTTCCTAGTCCTGCTTGTGGGAGAGTCTTCTGTCCCATGCAAAGACTCTTGTCCCTGGATGGGTAGATGGCTTAAGAGTATTCCAGTGAGTACTAAGCCCTGTTGCTTTACCTGTGAGAAACGTGTTTGGAGCACCCTTCAGAGCATTTGCTGTTGCTTACGCTTACTCAGGGGTGTGGAGAAAGTCCTACTTTTCCTATAATGGACTTGTTGCCCTGTTACCAAATGCTCTCGTGAAAGCAAGGTTGTTCTCTTTTTGTGGTCTTGGCAGCTTCAGTATCAGACTTCTTTGAACAACTCTCTGGGATGCTGTGCTGCCAAAGAATCGGTGAAAGAAATTTGCTTGCTCTGGCAATATCACAGACTGGGGAACTCGTCCAGTGACAGATCGTTGAACTGAGTTTTAAAATAAATCAACAGTCCAAACATTTAATTGTCTGAGCCACAGTGTTTCAGCAGCACTGACTCCAGAAATGAAGCATTACAGTAGCTGAGTGAGATTAATGTAAATTAATACAGATTATGGTTGAATATGGGAAAGTAAAATATTTTTATAAAGTTAGTGTCTGGTATGTGTTTACTACTGGTGCTTATATTGCTTGGTATTTTGCTTGTAAGGGTTGAAACAAGTAATGTGACTTTTAGATTTCTAAATGCTCTGCAAAACTTAATGGTTTTCATTCCTGAATAAGCTGATCAGCTTTAATAAACAAGTTTTGCACTCATGTAAAATTCAGGTAAATAAAGTCAGGCATAGGAAATGTATTTATTGAAGAGCAACAGTTTGTTGGATAGAGCATAACAAGTCCTTGATAGGTAATTTGGATACAGGCTGCGTTAGAGTAGATGCATTGATTAAAAAACCCCAGGTGTTTAGGCATTTCAACCATTTGGTGATGTAACATAGCTCATAATTTAACCCTCAGTTCCAGTTTTGACTAACAGTATTTAATAAACAACAACTAAAACCCCCAGAAACTTTATCCTTCACACCTATCTTCGGTGTAAGTTGTGACAAGATGAGCAGCCAGCCTCACTGACCACCTGAGGGACAGCAGTCAGCCTGGAGAATGGAAGAAGCTGATTAATTTCATGCTTGTTTGCACTGTGTCCCCCATGGCATCTTAAAAAGAAAGAAAACACCCAAACGGGCTTGCTGGTATGTGGCACTGCATACTTGGGGATCTTGAAAGAAAGATCACACGTTAATATTGTACTGTTACACTCGTAATGGATATTAGCCTAATCCTGCTGATACAGAAAGACAAATGCAATGGTGGCTGGGGAAAAAAACCAAAACACAAAACATATGCAAAACAAATCTGTTTTGGGTTTGAAAGCAAAATGTAGGTATACCTAGGATCACAAATTAAGGCTTTTCATTAAACTATTTGGGTGCTGAATATTATGTGGGCTCTTAGTGTGACGGAGCTGGCTTCAGACACCCACAGAGCAGGCAGATTTTTCCAAAAGTAGATGGACAGGGAAAAGCAAGTAGTCCTACTGAATTGCAAAGTCATGGCTCAGATGTCTGTTCCTCCTGTGCCTGTCCCTGGAGGAGAGGAGGACCACCTGTTTGAGAAGATCAACGCTGCAGCACAGCTGCTATCTCTCCCGCTGCTTACTACGAAACCCTAGAGAGTGGCCACCAGTTACAGTGGGAGAAGCAGTAACTATTTGCCAGGGCCAAATGGCAGCTCTTCGCAGGAGCTCATCCCTCCTCGAAGCAGTGTGCCGTGCTTTGTAAGGCTGATCTGATCTGCTTCCTCCCCTCCCGGTGGCAGGGGAAACTTTGTCCTTCCCACGCGTATGGACGCAGCCTGGGATGCAGGGTAGGGTAAGTGGGTAGCTGCTCTCGAGGGGAATGCTAAGCACAGGCGTAATTACCTCTTAGATGGAGACGGAGTTTTTGGCATACAGATTCGCTGTTGTATCGGAAAGGGGATGGCTCTTGGCCACAGAAGCGGGAAGAGGCCACTGCAAAGGGAAGCGGTGCGGACAGCAGGACGCAGCACCCTGGGGAGCTGGAGGACAGGAAGAGAGGTCCCAAGGCGGTGGTGGTAGTTTCCACTCCCAAGCTCGGATCATCCTGAGCAAGGCAGGAAGGAGGTGCCTATGGGAGAGAACAGGAAAGCGTGTGAGATTTCCATGTGCATGTCCACTGGGGCTGTTCCTGCTCACACCTGTCTCCATCTCCCTTTTGAACCAGCCCAGCTGCCAGATATTTACCTTTGCTTTTGCTGCAGGCAGGCCTTGTGGGCTTCGCTGTTACCAAAGCGTATTTATTACACTAGGAGCTTTAAAACCAATTGTTTTCCTCAGGTAAGGCACTACAGAAAGTCTGACAGCTCTAACGTTTTGAGAGGGTGGGATTTGGTTTTTTTAATGGTAAATGGTAAAGCAGGAATTGGCAGTCTGTCTGACTTCTTTTAAATGTTTAAATTTCAGAAAAAAGCATCATCCAAATTGTGATAGCCATCATAAATTACACTAATAAACAGAACTGTCAGCTACCCAGATCAGATGAAGTACTTGCACAATGTAAATATACAGGCTAATTACTCCTAATTCCATGCTTTTTGGGGGTGTTTTTGAGTCAGATGGTTTGGCCCTGGTACCTTCCTGGAGTTTAACCTAGCTCTGTAGGTGGGTTCTTGACTGACACGTAACACTTTGCCAAAGTTGGGATTCTTGTTCTCAAATTTTAATTCCGGCTTTCTTTTCCGTTGCCCTACCTGCTGTTGTTGTCTTCAGCCCTTGTTTTCCTTCACATTGTTCGCTTGCTGAGCTTCTGCAGGTTGTCTTCTTACTGATCCCCTTGGGTCAGGATGCTGTGGAGTCCTTTGGGATAAGAGGATGAAAGCAGAAAGTGGTATTGGACAGCTAGATTGCAAGACATCTAATCTTGAAATGTCTGTGTTTGTATCATGTGAATAGACAGATTAGCTTTAACTGACAGTTTTAAAATAGTTGTCTTGTGTGGTAACACTATTTCAGTTTCTTCTAGATTTCTAGTTCTTGGTTTTGGACTGGACGCTATCTTGTCTGTAATAGGAGTTGGCTAAATTCTGTATTCAAGCATGTGTAAAAAGAAATGAGAGAGTTGTCTAAATGTGTATATTACAGTTTGCCGTGCTCAGTACCTCCCTAATTTGGCAACATCGGATGCGCTTCCAGAGTTAAGCACAGACACATAGACCCTACTGGTAATGGCGCAGTGTCTAA